GGGGCAAACATGAGCACGCAGGCTCCATAATGAAAAAAAATATCCATGAGCATGTTTATAATGTTCAAAAATAGAATGGTGGAAGCACGAACTAAGTCTTCTCTCTGAGATGATCGCCCGATCAATGAGCACAGGTAGCAAGCTCTAGCCTCAACCTGAAATGGTGGTGGGACGCTCCCCCCCCCCCCCCTCGAAAGGGGGTTAGTACTCTATATGGCTATAAAGTACTGGTGTGGATGCAATCTAATAGATGTACAACAAGTATTTCAAACACAAGACCCTCAAATAGGGTGATAATATAATCTAGGCCATAACCCCAAGTTACCCCTTTTCAAAATATACTTACTTTATATATAAAGTCAAGTAGTCGGCCCGTAGGCTCAAGGTTTGTTTACAAAACATAACCCAAACCTCGTGACCCCTAGTCACGACAATACATTGGGTCCAACCCTAATGTGTCCATGTTATATCTACCCAATGCAATCTAGAGCTCGGGCTCAAGTGCATCTCCTTACATTGGCGTAGATTTGACCATAGGTTCCAAACCTTATGTCTCATCATCAATTTCCGACGTCATGTTCACCCATGCAATTCTAGAGCTCGGGCTCAAGTACATCTCCTTACATTGGCATAGATCCCAATTCCTAAGCACTCACTACGCCTAGAATTGTAATATCAATAATCTATTTTGGGACATCCTTACGGACTACCCCATCATGATCTTAACATCATATTGCATCAATTTAGTCACTTGCATCACAATCAAGTACATCAATTACAATCAAATCCTTAGATTCAATTCCTTAACAATTACAATCATTAACTAGTATTTCAATACTATTAAGATTATTCCTATCAATCATATATTCCATTTGTAAATCCCTACATATTTAGAGATATGTAGCAGCAACTTAATCATCCAATGTAATACATAAATAATCATTTATGTATCTACACAATTCACATATGAGTAAAAATGCCTATTTCACACAATAGTTCATTTAACTCCATTTTTATCAATATGATTCCAAATCATTTCCCATTTCATTCTTTGGAAACTATATCAATATTTCATCAATATTTTATCATCATAATCCATGAAAAACGTGATTTAGACATTTAGGTAATCTCATGCTTAACCTACAAGTTGTAAGCAACTAGATGTCGATCCTCACCTCAAATGAGCTTTAAATTGTTCCTTCTCAACCCAATGCTCAAGCTTCGGCCAAGGGAGTTTGAGAATTGATTCTTTGCTTATAAATGAGTTTTAAAAAGCCTCCTCAAGGTTCTAGCTCAACTCCTAACTGAAGACACGAAAACAGTCCCTAGAACGGGTGTTTTCCGGCGAATTCGTTTCCTAACCTTTCAAGGTTTTGTCTAGGTTAGTATCTAACCTTTCCAACAAATAAAGTAACTTTATAATAACATTTCATACACTTCAAAAAGTGTATAATAGTTCTTCAATCATTTATTTGATTTAGACAATAGAAAGGAAAGTTTTGGATTCAAACTTACTTTGAATACAAAAACGTATTCTGCGAGGTTGTTTTTTGTTCGGATGATTTGGAGGCCTTAAACTGCTCCGTTTTATTCAAACCGTACATCTATGGATTCCTCTTCTCGAGAGATTTCAGTGGAAACCTCACACGCCCTTGTTGCATGAGTAAAACTCAAGATGTGAGTCGAACCAAAATACCAACGCACTGGAAATTCTCCCTGCGGCCAGAATCCTTTCTACCTCCCTTTTTGTGTTGTGAGCTCTTATCCACTCCTCCCAAGATAAGAGTCTGAGTGGAGGTTGTGATAAGGCTCTAGGATATCTCAATGATGATTGCTAATCGTGTGGTTCACAAAAAGAAAAGGGTAGTGATGGATAGTGTACCCGGGGGGTAGCTTATCCGGGGTGTTACTGCGGGGAGTAACTTAGAGAGAAGTCAGAGAAAATAAGTAAGAGAGATAAAGAGTTCGAATATAGAATGAGTATCCAAGTTGTGTGTTACAAAGGGGAAAGGAGCAGCTATTTATAGTAGTAATAAATGCTAGATAGGGACACGTGTCAAGCATCCGATGACCGAAGGTCACTTCAATCGGGGTGGCACTGGCAGTTGCATGTGGCCGCATTAAATGCGGTGGTTGGATGTGACGTTTGTACTTGGTACGGTGATTCAGGCGCATGTCGAGTGGATATTCTGTCGAGGAGGACGCCTTCGACTGAAGGGTGTTGGGCGAAGGCTCTTCTTACCGGGAGCTTCTCTGTGCCGAGGGCGTCAAGTGCCGAAGGCTTAGTTTTTAAGCCTTGTTCTCCTGTGATGTTTCTGATACCGATTCTGTCACATGTAGCCTTCGGCCATGGGGCTGAAGGCATCCCTTTTGCGTATTGCGGGCTACTTAGAGCTTCATCTTGCTGGGCTTGGCCCGTTTGGGCATGTTGGGCCTGATTGCAGTAGTGGAAGTATGTGGACCGGGGTCCCTGAGCCATATACTCCATCAGGAGTCCCTCACTCCTTTTGCCAAAAGGTACTTGAGGGAAAATGAGTAATTGCGTTTGTCCTCTGATGCTGTTTTGCTGTAGTTTGTAAAGTTTTGCGAAGGGGAAAGTCTCTCAGTTCCCCACATTTTGGGACTTGAAGGATTATGTTGATGTTTTGGGGGAAGTTTAACATTTTGCGATTTTTCCTGGAGGGGTCCTCCAGTCCCCCACTCCTTGAGCCACATGTAATGTGGTGAAGAGGAGTAGAGCAGTGCCTGTCTTCAGTATGGGGCCGAGGGCTGACTATTTTCGTTTCATTTTGGGGGGATGCCTCGTTAAAAACCTCATTAGAAAAAATCCTGTGGGAAAAAGATCTAATGAGGGAAAAAGAGTGCACCGAATTCCCCCAATGATGAATCGAAAAGGTTAACCCTTGATCTGAGTATAATGCCCATGCCGAAGGCTTCCCTTGTTCTGGGGCTTGTTTGCTGAAGGCACCCTTTCGATATCCTGGTGATACCGAGGGGAGTCCCTCAGTCATTGGGGCTAAAGGTGTGTTGACATAGGTGATAGCTCCTGTATTACCGAGGGGGGTTCCCTAGCTCTTGATAAGTTGGGGGCTGAGGGCTCCAGAGGGCTCCCGTTATTTTATGTCGGAGGCTAACCATTGATAAGGGTTTGAAGGTGTGTCCCCGGGGGGTTCCCTGGTTCTCAACATGTTGAGGGCTAAGGGTTCCTGAGGTGTTTTCCAGTCGTGAAGCCGGGGGCTCCCCTTGATGAAGGAGTCTGAAGGAGTTAGCCCGAAGGCATGCACAGTGTTTTCTGAGGGGTGCCAGATGAGGGCACCTTAGTCTGTGAAATAGATCCGTTGAGACATGACCGTTAGAATATGCCCGTTGGGATATGGACCGTTGCTGGTGGGGTCCATGTGGCGGCTCCTGGTTGGATGACCTCGGGCAGGTGCTACCGGTTGGCGGAGATGACGGTTTGTAATGATGATTTTCTCATCGGGGGCCCAGTTTCTTGTCCAAGCCCGGATTTGGGAGGCTATAAATATCCCATGGCCAGGGCCATTCCTCCTGCACGATTCATTGTTTAGCGAAGCTCTGGCAAAATTTTTCTAGAGAGAGAAAATTTCCTTCGATCAAATCCCCATCCCTGAGGTCAGTTCTTCCTTTGTCCCTAGTAATTCTTGAACCTTTTGCTTTCCGGCCTTAGATTAGGTGTTATAGTCCTAGGTAGAATTTTTTCCATGGACCCTTCGAACACCTTACCAAAGATGTCGTCTGCGAGTGACTCTCAAGGCATCTCGAGGGAGCCGTCTGTCCAGGCTGAGAGCTATTCAGACGTTGAGTTTTCAAGTGGGTAGCCTTCGGCGGGTGATGATGATGCCATGGCCATGGAGGTATAGAAAGACCTCATTGCCGAAGCTGAGGACTTCGAGCAAGTGGTGGAGGACGAGGAGATGGCCCTTGCTATGCAGACGACTGAAGAGGAGGAGGAGAAGGAGCGGGAGAAGGTTACTATAGCCATCCTTCCACCACGCAACACTGGTGAGGCCAGCAGCTCCGGACCACTCAACCCGGAGCCTCTAAGGGTGGCCCCGTGAAAGAAGATCAAGACGAAGATGGGAGCCCCGAAGAAGAAGGGGAGTGTTGCTGATCTTGGGAAGCCCGTCGAGATTCCTGAGGGGTTCTCATGGCTGAATACTGCTGCCCTGTCGATCAACTCGAGGGCTGATCGGGCCGAATGGTACGTAACGCAACTGCACGTAGGGCCTTCGGCGTTAGTGATAGAACTGGGCCCTGACGATTTACTCTCCCAAGCTCCCGAGGGGTGCTTCGCGGTCCACGTCCTCTCGGTGTCAATGGGACTTCGATTTCCGCTGCACCCATTCCTCTTTGAGTACCTTCGGTATGTAGGATTAGTCCCCTGTCAGCTCACCCAGAACAGTCACTCCTATATCGCCGGGTTCCTCCAACTCTGCCGGTCTCGGGACGTTACTCCCAGTTTAAATCTCTTTTTTCAAAGTTTTAACCTGTGTCGGGGGGGGGGGGGGGGGCATGCTAACTCCGAGGGCTATGCGAACCTCCAGCACATTGCCCAGTGGAGACTCTTCGATGAAGTGCCCTCGTCCCATAAGGGTTGGAGGGACCGTTTCTGTTACGTCAAGATGGCAAACAATCCATCCCTGAGGGAGCTGCGGGATCGTTTCAGGCGGCATCCGAAGGTAGTGAGTGCTGCCCTCGAGAAAGACGGGAGGAAGATCTCTGCTATCCCGGTGGGGCGTGAAAAGCATGTGTCGGTCAAGGAGATGACCCTCGGGGATGATTTGTATAGCCTTGGCTTCCGGCGCTACCGCTTCCTTGGAGAACGGGACGAGAAGTACCCCGTTCTTGACCGAGCCTTCGAGAGCACCGGAGGTAGTTCCTGGAGGCTCTTGGCTTTTGTACTTAGAAATTTTTTGCACTCGTTTCATTTATGTCATGTAGTTGATCCCTTCGGCTTAATTGCTTTTGTTGTTTTGCAGGTTCAAACATGGATATCAACTCCTTTGCCGCTCTGAAGAAGCAAAAAGCGAAGGGCCAGGGGAAAAAGGAGTCGGGCAAGCAGAAGCCCGTCGGCGACTTTTTCAAAAAGGGTGGTGAGCCCTCGGCTGCCCCCTCTGATGCTGCTGCCAAGAGGAAGGCAACAGACAAGGGTCCAGCCCCCAAAGGGAAGAGGCCCCAAAAGGGGGATGCCGGGAAGAAGGCTCCCCCGGTCGTGATCGTGGATGAACACTCCACCTCTGAGCCACAGGTTGTGGTGCAACGGCTCCATCGGATCTTCCTTCGGAAGTGTTCCCTCAGGAGACCCTACAGCTCTCCCTCGTGAAGGGGACCGCCGTGATGCACGACACAGTGGAGCCGAAGGGATTTCTGAAGGGTATTACTTCAGAGATGGACAGGGCTGCCCTCGGAACCTACGATGATGATGCCCTTCAGAACAAGATCCTCCGGGCTTCTCTCACTGTAAGTCCCTTTTCCCTTGTCCCTTTTCTAACCATTTAGCATACTTGCACAATAGTCTAACCCTTTTGCCCGTTGTTAACAGGCTTGCATAGCCCTCGGTGAGCAGGCCCGGAGGTTTGATGAATGGCGCCTTCAGAAGGCCCAACAGGATGAGTCCCTGAAGAAGCTCATCCACGATAACGCTGATGCCGTCAGGCAGATGATGAATTTGGAGGAAGAACTTCGGCAGGCGAAGGCCGAAGCTGAGAGAGCCAGGGCCGAGGGCAAGGCCAAAGCTGAGAAGGCTGCTGCTGAGGCTGCCCAGAAAGCCCTCGAGGAGGCCGAGGCTGTCAAGGCGGAAGCCGTCGCCAAGGCTCGGGAGGACGCCATTGCTGTTTTTCTTCTGGAGGGGTGGAAAGCTGAAGGCCATAAGGACTGGGTGGCTTCGGTGTTGGAGGCGTCCGCAGATGAGTGGGTGAAAGGCCCCGGGGCGATGTGGCTAGCCTGGAAGGGTGAGGACTATTACGCTGGGGGGAGTTCTTCACTCAGGCCCTCATCTACCGGAGGCTCGCCCGGCACTTCGGGGTGGACCAAAAGGACTTTGATCCTTCGTCCTATGGTTTTCCCCCCTTCAACCTGACGTCAGAATTCTCCTCCCCCTGGATGTTCAGAGACCGGATTTGGAGGATTCGGTGCTGATGCAGGGGGTACAAGATGACGAGGAGCCCGGAGAGGATGTCTCTTCCAAGCCTGCCGAAGAGGTGGCTGCTGAGGCTGTCGTTTGATTTGTACTTAGACAATCTTTTGAACAATATTCTGTAATATACATTATGTAACCTTCGGCTTCGGCCCTTTGTTGTAATTTAAACATATTACTCTTTTATTTTTGTGAATGAATGTATGGATGCCTTCGGGCTCTCGATATATGAATCTATCTCTTTCTCCCCTTGTGATGAATGAATGCCTTCGTTTTCCTTTATACCTTCTTTCCATAGTTGTATGTATGTTTGTATGGTGAGTTGACCGGGAGCCAATCATTTAGGACTTAGAATTTTTTTTCTTCTAAGTGTTGTTCAGTGGTAGGCCTTCGATCAATGCTTCCTTCTTCATCTTGTGTAGCTTGTCATGGGTTGACCGAGGGCCAAAAATTTAGGACTTAGAAAATTTTCCTAAATGTTGCTTACAACTTTGCCCTCGGTTGACATCTTCTTTCGTGTGCCTTGTGTTGCGTGAACTGTAAGCCCTCCTCCATTGATAGTTCAAGACTTAGAAAATTTTCTAAGTAATGTTCACTGCCGGGCCCTCGGCAGATGTCTCCATTTAGTCCGCATGAATGCCACGAGCTGACCGAGGGCCTAAGATTTAGGACTTAGACATTTTTCAAGTGGTGCTTTGCCACTAGGCCCTTGGTTGACACGTCCTCCCAGCTGTATGAAGTAGCTGGCCTTCGCCACATATCCCCGGGAGAACCGGTGTTGTAGACTTAGCCAAATTTTGAGTGATGCCATGAATGTGCCCTCGGTTTGTAGTAGTCTTAGGCAAAGTTTTCCTTAGCAAAGGATGGTGATGTCGGGGGCCCTAAGTCATGGGCTTAGAGAAATTTGTATTGGGTTTGCAATTAGCAGCCTCCGGTGCTGACTGTGGTGCCCTTCGGTAAGGCCGGTGTCACGCCCCGGACCGCATCCGAGCCACGTAGACAACCGCCGTACAACCCGATAAGAACAACAACAGTTCATCCCTATTGAATTGTACAAGGCGTCCGATTGATTCTATTGCCAAACCGATTAGTAAACACATACAATCAACATCAATATCATAATCAAACAAATGCGGAAATAATAATATGTTTGATACTTAGCCACACGTGGCAAACACGGGCACGCAGGCCCCCAACTGTTTTAAGGAAAACATTGTTCAAAAATCCATGAGGAGTTTATAAATTTCAAATACGAATAGAAGCACGAACCACGTCTTCCTCCTTGGACGATCACCCTAGGCAAAGGTGCAGGTAGTAGGACTCTAGCCTTAACCTGAAAAATGTGAGGGCCCCCGGAGGGGTCAGTACTCCATAGAAGTACTAGTGACAAGCAGGCTATATGAAGAATAACTAATGTTTCAGACACGAGACCCAAAAATAAGGTGATAGATATATATATATATATGTGACTCATCCACCCGATGATACATACTGTATATATATTTGTAAAATACTCAACCCATAGGTCATTTCATTTAAAGAGTCTTTTAGAGATAAAGTTCTTACCTGACTTTTCTCACTCCTTTCTCGGTTGCCTAGCTCACAAGCTATAGTCTACCTTCGATTCATACTACCGAGTGTTTTAGGATCATTTACCGTCCAAGGCACTCAACCCAACCTGGAGTATTTAGGATCATTTACCGTCCAAGGGTACTCGGCCCCACCTGGAGTATTCTGGACCATTTACCGTCCAAGGGTACCCGACCCCACATGGAGTATTCTGGATCATTTACCTTCCAAGGGTACTCGACCCCACCTGGAGTATTCTGGATCATTTACCGTCCAAGGGTACCCGACCCCACCTGGAGTATTCTGGATCATTTACCGTCCAAGGGTACTCAATCCCCAATCTATCCTCTACCAAATCCTAACCTGGATATGGCTAACCTTTCATTCCTTTAACAATGGACAATGCCTAGCCCTATAGTCATATAACAATCCTTAGGAACCAACCTGGGCGGGTCCCACCTGAACGGCCCACGTTAACATACTCAAAACTGCCCGTTTTGAGCATAAACCAATACTCGATCGACTATCTACCCATACTCGGTCGAGTACAGGAGACAGTAGCCCACAAAGCTAATTTTCAATGTATACTCGATCGAGTATCTACCCATACTCGATCGGGTATAGGAGGCAGTAGCTCCCTGGGGCAATTCTTCAGTAAATACCAGGTCGGGTATGTGTCAATACCCGGTCGGGTATGGCAGTTGACTTGGCGGTCAACGCCCGTTTGACCACCCAAACGGAGTCCGATTAACGTGAAATTTTATACACATATACTTCTTGACGTCCTTGATCCAAAAATACCATTTTGGATCCCTGGAGCATCACACATGATAAGTTATCACATTTTTAATCACCAAACCTACATAACATGCTTTTCAACTATGTTTTATGTATAATCATGGCATAAGCAAACACTTGGTTATCTTTAATCATTCCACAAAACATATCCTTGATTAATTTAGATAATCTCATGCCTCACGCAAAAGTTATAAAGCATAAAGCCGTCTTCTCACCTTAATGAAGCTTATGAAGTTCTAGCCTTCCCGATTGAGCTCCGGCGAAACTTCGGCGAACTTCAACGAACTCCGGCGACAACTCCGGCGACCCTTTCAACTCCGTGAAAGTTCCTTAAAAACCTTAGACAAGTTACTAACAAGGTTTTATCATCATAAAACCCATAGTAATACAAATAACCTCCAAAAGGTTATTTTCCGGCGAACCGGTCACTTTGGCTTCTAAGTCCATTCTTGGACTTAGAACTACTTCCCAACCCCTCGTTCTACACTTCTAGGTATGTAGAACATCCCTAGGGTTATGAAATATGATTACACCATCATATGAGAGTATTAGAGAAAGAGAAAACATAGGTGAGACCATTACCTATATTTAGCTTGGTTTTTTTTCCTTCCCTTTTGTCTTTTTTTCTTCTCTTTCTTTCTTCCTTGAGCTGGGTTTGTATGGCAATGGAGGAGATAGAATTTTGCAGAGCTTATCTCTAAAAAATGGCTGGGTTGGTCGAGCATATGGGGTGTGGGGGGTGATTGAGAATGCTCCTTTGGCTTATTCATCCATAATATGGGGGAGGGACCCCTTTTCTTTCACACTTTGTCTCCCATCCTTCTCACTCCCTATCAGCAGCCAAAAGGTGCGTCTCCCCTTTCCATTCTCAGCTTAAAAACGTGGGTTGGCCCCCACTTATGTGGGAGGTCAACCCTTTGTGTCCCCGAGTGTACAATCGGTCCCGAAAGTTGTATTTTTCGGACTGTTTTAATTATATTTTATTTTATCGCGTCAAATAAAATATAACACTTGTTCCCAATCCTTACTGGACCTTAGAATCAATATGCATTCCCCAACTTTAATTTAGAAGTCTCCGAAATCCCTTTTTGGGTTGTTATCTGATAAATTGCCGATACCGATAATTTGGCCCCATTTGACCAACCGGTCAACCCTATGCCATTGCCATGGCCCAATTAGGATATCCATCACCATATACATATTATCTAGTCCAAGATTAATATAATATGTGGTCCCGATAATATCAGGCGGCCCCACATCCGGTGTGGGCCCCACGTGAATTCTACTATTCACGTAAAAGAAATGATAAAAATTTACAATTACGTAAAGATGCTTTTATTCATTTCTCAGGGTTCGATACATAATTTGATAAGGTACAATTACTTGGGGGCGGTGTTACAACCGGAGGATGCGGTAGTGATAGTCAAACTTGGCCAATTCGTAGCCTAGGAGCCTCCGGTGATGTTTGATTCCAAAGTGTGGACTTAGGAATTCTTGAGTCCAATGTATTATAGCCTTCGGGTGTTTTGTTATGAATGTTGAAACTTGTACTCATTAATTGCTCGTTGGGTCTACTCCCTTTCACCCCATTTTTTTAATAGTTAAGGGAAGGTTTCATGAAACTTGGTTTCTTGGTAAGGCTTGGCCTATCGGGAGGCAACAGTATACACCATTGGCTCCCCCCTCGGGATTAACCTTCTGGGTTCCGAGGGGATCGAGGGTCGTTTCCTTGGCACAAGACGTAGTCTGTTGCCTGCCTCCCCTTGGGGGATGGCACGAAAAGCGCCTCAGTTTTCAAAGTCGTTCCCTCAGCACGAGACATAGTCTGTTGCCTGCCATTCCCTTGGGGTAATGGCGCGGGAAGCGTTTCATTTTGAAAGTTGAATCCTGAGGCATATTAGTTGCCTGCCATTCCCTTGGGGTAATGGTGCGGAAAGCGTTTCAGGGAAGGGTTTTATTTGCATATTAGTTGCAAAAGGCTGTGGTACTTGGTACCTTCGGCACCGATAGGTGGGGCCTTCGGTATGATTGCGTCCTCGAGGGGTACGACTTTATTTTTAACACTTGGGACACGTTTACTTCACAGGTTAGTAAACGGTGCTTATTAAGACTCGCGTTAATAAGCGGCGCATAAAATAAGCAGTGTTGTAAGCTCATGTATACTTCAAAGGATTTAAAACACCGTTTAACATTAAAATGTCCAAAATTACCCTATAGATATGATACACACACAAACATTCATGAACACAAGTATATATAATATAATATGCGGGGTCACCTCGTACGCTTAGTCGCTGACCCACACCCCTAACCCCAACCCCGCCCTGTACCCCCACCCCTCACCCTACCCCCAATCCCACACCCTTGACCCCCACCCCTTTCCTACCCCTACCCTTACCACGACCTTACCCTTCACCCCTACTCCCACCCATACCAACCCCCCACTCTACTCATGGGGGTTGGGTCGAGGTAGGGGCATGTGATATGGGGTAAAGGGGTAGGGGTCGAGGTATTGTAATGGGAGTGGGGTGGGGTCGAGGTTGGGGTCGAGGTGGGGTCGAGGTAGGAGGGGTAAAAGGGTAGGGTCGATGTAAGGGGTACAAGTGGGGGTAGGGGTAGGGTGGGAGTAGGGGGTCGGGGTGGAGTAAGGGGTAGGGTGGGTCGAGGTAGGGGTAAATGGGTAGGGTCGGGGTCGGGTCAAGGTAAGGGAAGGTGGTAGGGGGTAAAGGGGTAAGGGTGAGGGTGGGGGTAGGGTAGGGCTGGGGTGGTAGGGTAGTGGTTGGGGGTAGGTGGTGGAGGGTAAGGTCAGGGTAGGGGTAAGGTGGGGTGTGGGGTATGGTCGGGTCAAGGGTGGGGGTGGGGTCGGGGTAAGGTAGGGTAGGGCGAGGTAGTGGGGTAACAATAGGGTAAGGGTA